TTTTGGCTTCCATTTGCTTGAAATATTGATTTCCACCCCTTTACCTTGAGTCTAAATGCATCCTTACAGGTTAGATGCATTTCCTGGAGACAGCAGATGCTTGGCTTTTTTTTTTTTTTTTTTAAATCCATTCGGCCAGCCTATGTCTCTTGAGAAGGGAGTTCAAGCCATTCATGTTTATTGAGAGAATTGATAAGTGGGGTGGATTATTGTTCATTCTGTTGGGTTGCATTTTGTTGCTTTGTTTTTCTCTCTTGAGCCATTGTGGAATCTAGCCTTTGATCTTTAACTTTTGAGTGGTTTTATATTTGAGAGTGTTTATCATGCTGATCCTTGTGTAATTCTGTTGTGAGTACCTCTTGGAGAGCTGGTCTTGTCTGGGTGAATTCCCTCAGTCTTTGCTTATCTAAGAATGTCTTTATTTCTCCTTCATTTGTGAAACTTAGTTTTGCAGGGTACAAGATTCTAGGCTGGGCATTATTTTGTTTCAGAAGAGTGAGAATGGGGCCCCAGTCTCTTCTTGCTTGTAGGGTTTCAGTTGAGAAATCTGAAGTTACTCTTGTGGGCTTTCCTTTGTATGTTACTTGTTTCTTTTCACCTCACAGCTCGTAGAAAGGCCTCTTTAGTGGATATTTTGGTCAATCTGGTGACTACATGACGTGGTGTCTTCCTATTTGCATTGAATCTCCTTGGGGTCCGTTGAGCTTCCTGTACCTGTATATCTAGATTTTTAGCAAGGCCTGGGAAATTCTCCTCTATTAATTCTTCAAATAGCTTATCCAGCCCTTGAGTGTTTTCTTCTTCACCTTCTGGAATCCCTATCACCCTCAGGTTCGATTTTTTTCACATAATCCCACATTTCTTGTGGGCTTATTTCTTTTCTCTTAATTTTATGCTCAATCTCTGTGACTGACTTATTTAATTGGAAGGAGTTGTCTTCCATCTCTGAGATTCTTTCTTCTGTTTGATCTACCCTGTTCTTGAGGCTTTCCACTGTATTTTGTAGTTCCCTGAATAAGTCTTTCATTTCCAGGAGATCGGTTTGTAACTAACCTTTTAATGACTTTGTTGTGTCTGTTTTTTGTTGGAAAGTATTTGGATATTTTGTTGCAGCATGGAGGTCTACAGTTTCTGTTGATCCTCTAGATGGGTGTCAGTCATTTATGACTTTAAGGGCATCTTGATTTGGGTTAGGTATAAGAATGTAGATTTGCAGCAATAAGTGGTTGAAAAGCAAGAAAGCGTTTTTCAAACATGTTGCCAAAATCATGGGTATTCTGCATTTTTCCATATGTCAGTTGGATCCTAGCATCAATCAATGATTCTAAAATGTCATCTGAGAGCTCAGTCAATTCCATCTGTAGTTCCTCAGGTGCCTTGGTGATATCAACTAGGTGAGGCTGAAATGCTAATTTGAGTGTGATGTCATGGTTCTCAAAGTCAGTGAAACTTTCATTGTATTCTCCAATTGATAGATCAATAACAGCTGCATATTCTTCAAATGACTTGCGTATATCATCCTGCTCATCAGAGACCTTTGCTAACTGGGTAAAACGTTCATCTAAAATTTCCTTTTGAAGTGTTTTGAAGGAAAGCTTTTTTCCGAAATGCTTGGGTTTTTTGCCACGTATCATATTTAGACTTAGTTTTACCTTACAAAGAAATATTCAAGTCATTTTGATTTGACATAGTATCACACAGAAATGCTGCATTCCTATAGAAATCTTCTTTCAATAATTCACATTGATGATTCTGTTCTTTATAAAATTTAACTATCTGTTCTCGCAGAGATAAAACTGTGGCTAACACCCGTCCCTGTGATAGCCAACGCATTTTATAATGATATGGCAAATCCACACTGAATACCTCATGGTTCAACTTTAGCTTGTTACAAAACTGACAATGTCTTTTTTGCATTTGCACGAATATAGTTAACAATACTTATAACTTGTTGCAAAGTGTCCCTTAAAATAGTAGCTTCACAGATTTTGCTGACACAAGATACAATGAAAAGAAATGAGAGCATCTGGATCTGTTAATACTTTTTTTTTTTTTTTTTGAGACTCAACAGAGTCTCACTCTGTTGCCTGGGCTAGAGTGCCTTGGCATCAGCCTAGCTCACAGCAACCTTAAACTCCTGGGCTCAAGTGATCCTCCTGCCTCAGCCTCTCGAGTAGCTGAGACTACAGGTGTGCACCACCATGCCCGGCTAATTTTTTTCTATATATTTTTAGTTGTCCAGCTAATTTCTTTCTATTTTTTTAGTAGAGACGGGGTCTCGCTCTTGCTCAGGATGGTCCTGAACTCCTGAACTCAAACGAGCTTCCCGCCTCGGCCTCCCAGAGTGCTGGGATTATAGGGGTCAGCCACCGTGCCCGGCCAATACTTTTTTTTATCTGTGCAATGCACCCTTCATGTTCTCTTGTCATGGAAGGTGCACTGTCTGTACATACACTCACTAAATTTACCAAATTCATTCCAACTTCACCACATTCATCTGTAAGGTTGTTGAAGATACCTGTTCCCTGTGTTCTATTTGTGAGAGTGCCCAAAGCAAGTAATTCTTCACAGCAAAGAAAATCTTCTGTTATGACCAGAATGAAGTATAAAACCTGCGCTGAGTCAGTAGTATCAGTTGATTCATCCAAAGTGATTGAATAATATATATTTTCCTTTGAAGTATTGCATGGAATTGTTCTGTTAAGTTGAAGGCTAATTCATGCTGCTGATCAGTTGTGGTTCTCCTCGAAGGAGGCAGTTATTTGTACTCGGAAACGTTATTGGGGTCTAAGCATCCTACAACTTCAACGATGCATTCTTTCACAATTTCCACATCACTGAATGGCTTCATTTTTTTCCCTGAGTATATAAGCCACTTTATAAGTTGCCTCAGTGGCATTATCTCCAGGTCTTACTACTGCTTGAAAGAATTGTCTTTACTTTTACTTTTCATTTTTTAACTTCTACAGTATAACCTTTCATGCCTCTCCCGCTGATTTTAAATATTTGTGGTCCGTACGAATATATAAAGCTGATGAGCATTGAATTTCTTTAATGTTGATATTGTAGTATCACAAAGCAAGCAAATCATATCTTTAGCAGCAGCAAGATAATATTGCAATTCCCAATCCTCATTTAAAAGTCTGTTTTCTTCAGCATTCTCTTGGTCTTTGACATGGGCTATTAAGCAGACAGAATTAAAAAATACTGTCAAGCTGTACAACTATTTACAAATTTCACTTCAAACAAACAGTGCACTGCTGTCAAAAGCTGACAACAGACTGGCGCATTGGACCCCATAAACTCTCGCCAACCAGCCTTGCGCGGTAGCGGCGCCGGTCAGGCGGGGGCAGTTAGCACTAAATCATGAGCGTAGCAGCCGTCAATTTAGCCCTATGGCTTACTAATGTTCTGATTGTACCGGTCAATCTAGGAGGATTATTTCACTGAACCTTATTTAATTCTTTGGTATTTTAAATACATTTGTTTTAAAAATAAAAGTGTAAAAGACAAACAAAAATGTATTAATACAAATAAAAGGATTTGTTCTGTAAAATCTGGGTTCGGTCAAGAGGCTGCATTTAAGGACCGGGAAGGCCACATGTTCCCCACTCTTTTTCTAGACAATTGATCTGATTTAGGTTTGGTTTTGTTTTTTAGGAAAATATATATATATATTTTTTTTTGGTGAGCCAGTTTCTGCTCTGTCACCCTGGCTAGAGTATAATTGCATCATCATAGCTCACAGCAACCTCAAACTCCTGGGCTCAAGTGATCCTCCTGCCTCAGCCTCCCAAACAGCTGGGACTACAGGTGCACACCACCGCACCTGGCTAACTTTTCTATTTTTAGTGGAGATGTTAAAGGCTAGTCTTGCTCAGGCTGGTCTCAAACTCCTGAGCTCAAGCAATTCTTCCTTGGCCTCCCAGAGTGCTAGGATTACAGGTGTGAGCCACTACGCCCAGCCAGGAATATGTAGTTCTTTAAAAAGAGAGATCAGGCTTCATCAGGAGACAGTGGCTGTCCCTTCTGGGCCAGCTGTCAGTATGGGGACAGGGGCAGGGCGTTACCCATCTGGTCTTCAGAGCCCCTCACCCACCTCCCACGGGGCCATGCTGGTGTCTGCTGAAGCGCTGGGCCCACGTTCTCGGTGATTGGGCCTGAGGGTGGTCTGGGCTCTGGTGACATCCTATCGTCTGTCCGCAGGCCAGAGCACCTTCCTGGTGGGCCGCCGCAACCCCCCGACTCTGCACATGGTGCTGGAGGCGCTGCAGGCCGGGGAGCAGAGCCGGGGCATGTCGGTGGTGGCCATCAAGCGCTACATTCTGCACAAGTACCCAACGGTGGACGTCACCCGCTTCAAGTACCTGCTGAAGCAGGCCCTGGCCACGGGCATGCATCGCGGCCTCCTCACCAGGCCGCTCAACTCCAAGGCCAAGGGGGCCACTGGCAGCTTCAGGGTGAGCAGGGTTTGAATGTCAGTGCCGCTCATGTTTCCCCCGGCCTCTGGCCTCTGCATGGTCGCGGCCTCTGCCTGGAACCCCTTTCTCCTCCTGTCCTCTCTTGCTCTTCCTGTAACCTCAGCAGAGACGCTTCTCCCCCGGGAAGGCTGGTGCTCGTTCTCTCAGAGCTGCCACCCACCTGGTCCCCAGATGGTGTCCATCTTCATGCCTGTCGGGGTGTTGTCAGAGACAGGGACTGTGTCACTGTGCTCACTTCTGGGTCCTGGTGTGCAGCCCTGGAACACCTCACCACAGCAATGGGGTTTGCTCCCAGCTCTCTGGCTCCTAACCCAGGGCGAGGCCTGGCACCTCCCTCAGCTGCCACGTCCTCCCCTTTTAAAGCAGAGGGTCTCATCCTGGCAGGGAGCCTCCGGAGGGGACCTTTCCAGGGCCACGCACAACTGAGGGCTGGTTTGGGACAAAATTGAACCCCAGCATCATGACTGCCATTGGCCACCAGGAAAACCTCAGGGACCCAGACATAGGGCCTATCTTTCATTGCTGTGACCTGGAGTCTTGCTCAATTTCTGGCACATAGCTTCTCTGATTGTTGCTGTAGAACATTTTCAGCTTACCATGTGCTGGTCCCTGTGGTTACTGGGTGATGGATCATGGGAAGTCCCACCCCATGGGACTCCTGGGCATGGGTCAGGGCCTGGACTCAGGTCGTGGCCAGGCCGGGTGGGGCGGGGTGCAGAAAATCAAGAGAGGGGCAGTGTGGGCTGAGGGGGAGAGGAGGAAGGGAGAGGACTCTGGGGTCCTGGTGTTGGGGGTGTGTGTGCTGGCGGGTGGGGCTGGGAATTCTTTCTGGTTTTGGTGGGTGATGGGGAGCCGTGAGGGTTTAGGGATAGGAGAGTAATGGCATAGGAGCTGGGCTCGATGGGCAGGGACCGCCTGTCTGCCAGGAGCCCTCACACACCCCCGACCCTCACACCCTCTGCCCTCGGTGACAGCCCCTACTGTACAGATGAGAAGATGTGGCTGGAGGAAGTTGTGAGCTTAGAGCTCCCTCGAAGCCCGCGTTCTGCTGGGCATGGGGTCGGGGGAGGCCCAGAGCCATAGTCCATGGGAAAGGCGAGGTGCGTGGGGGTCAAGAGACCCATAGGCTATGTCTCTGGGGACAGGGTGGAAGAAGGGTTGAGCATTTGGGAGGTGGCCGTGTTTCTTCGCCCTGTGCCCCTGACCACCTTCTAAGCCCCCTCATTTGGAATGGGGCCTCCTTGGAGTCTTGCAGAGAGTGTAGGGGCATGAGACACCCAGAACAACTGCCCTCGAGCCCGCCCCCACACTGTCCTCCTCCAGTTAGTTCCTAAGCACAAGAGGAAAATCCGGCCCAGGAGGACGGCTGCCTCGGTGGCCCCCAGGGGAGCTGGGGAGGCCAAGGAAAAGGTCCCCAAGAAACCAAGGGCGGCAGAGAAGGGCCCTCCCAGCTTGGGCAAGGTGGAAAAGGCAGCCGAGAAGCCTGGAGAGATGAGGAAGGCACCTCCCAAACCACGTGCAGCCAAGCAGAAGGCCCCCAAGAAAGGCAACAAGGCCAAGGACATCGAGGCAAAACTGGTCGAGGCTAGGAAGGCCCCCCCAAAGCCAGACAAGACCACACTGGCCCCTTCCAGTACCAGCAGGCTCAACAGAAAGTCAAAGGTCGAAGGCAGTAGGAACAGCCAAGGTGGGTGTGTGAGTGGGGGTGGGGCACGTGGGGCTGGTGGTTTGCAGCAGCTGCTCGGGTGGGACAGAGGGTCCGGCTCTGGGGGAAGGGCGTATGCTTATCTAGCGAATGTGCCCTGAGTGCTTGGCTTGACCTGGAGAGACAGAGGACTCACGGGAGCTGGTTGGGGAAATGGGGCAAACATTTCAAGGACAATGAAGGGGAAAAACAGAGACTAGGAGTCTGGCTCATTCCTGAGGCAGCAGGGGTCCTGGAAGTCTTCCTGGAGGGTGTCCCAAGCAGGAGAAGAGCCTGTGCAAGGGCCTGGAGCCATAAAGAAGGCAGAACTTTCAAGGAACTGCACGTGTTTTCTCTGCAGTGTCGGGAGGGAGAAGCTGTGAAGGGAAGTCGGAGTCTGGACTTTATCGGGAGGGCAATGAGGAGCCATGGAAGGATTGGGCAAGGGAGCAGCTGGGGTCAGTTAGTATTTAAAATGTATCCTGGCTGCCTTGTGGAAGACAGACCAGAGGCTGATAGGCCTGTTCGGAGCTGTGGTGTGGGTGGGCGTGGAGCAGGGGTCTGCCTGGTGCTTTGCGGAGAGCAAGGGGCCCAGTCCATCCCCCGTGCCCCTGGGAGGGAGCCACTGTGATCTCCAGCTTGCGCGCTAGGACATCGAAGGCTCAGAGTGGCCAAACAACTTGCCCCATGTCACATAGCCAAGTAAGGACCTGGGACCCAGGCAGGAAGGGGGCTCTGGAGCCCCTGAACATTCCTGCCCACGTGACACCCTGCCCCAACTTGCAGGAGATGCCAAGGCCCACAGGAAAATCAGATCTGAGAGTAGGAGTTCAAAACCCACAGCCAGCAAGGTAGGTGCCCGAGTGACTTCCTGGTCTGCTGCCCACCCTGAGCAGGCCAGAGCTTGGGTGGCCCACATCCAGCCCCCGGAGAGGTCATCCAGAGGGAGGGGGGAAATACCTTCTCTCTGGCCCTTCAGCACCCTGGGGGGGGCGGTCACCACCCCCATTTCACAGATAAGGGACCGAGGCTTAGAGAGGAGAGGCCAGGCGTCCAAAGCCACCTGGGGCTGGGATTTTGAGCCTACCCCTGTGGGCCCTGAGCTGTGTGCCCAGCCCTGCCCAGCTCTGTCTCCTTGCTCTATGTTTGCTTTCTTATAGGCCAAGAATGGGGCTGCTCCCCCAACCAGGAAGAAGATGGTGGCCAAGGCCCCTCAAGGGGCAGATGCCCAAGGGTCTAGGGAGGGACCAAACGCCAGGGCAGCTCTTCCTGCTAAGGGCAGTGGCTCCAAGATGGCACCTGCACGCTTGGCCACGAAGATGGAGGACCCCATGGGCCCAAGAAAGCCTGGGCAGCCCATGGAGGCCTCGGCATCCAAGGTGCTTAGCAAGAGGGCCGAAGCCTAGAGCCAGAGGTGGGGGTAGAGAGACTGAGGTTCAGCTCGAGTTTTTATTCCTCGGCAAGCTATTGCTGTGTTTATTTAACCTGTAACTTATATCAATAAAGACTTGTTTTTCCTCACAAATGGGTGTGGGTGGAGCCTGAGGTCCAAGGGTTTGGCCATTCGGTCTCACATAAACATCCACTGAGCACCTACTGTTTTCCTGGCCGGTGCAGAGCCTGCTGCCCTGGGGGACACAGACTGGGGTGTGAAGGGCTGGGGCACTGATGTCGGGGCTCAGGGGCCTGTGGGAGCACAGGAGGGTTGTTTAACCCAGCCCCAAGAGCTGGGACTGCTCCAGGAGGAGGTCGATCTTGGTCTTAAAGGATGTGTGGCAGTTGCCAGACAGGACATCGTAGGTAGAGGGTACCATGTGAGGGGTGGGTTTGGAAGGTGTGGTTGAAGGATGGGGATTTGAGGCTCTGAGAGGTGCATTTTGGGGAAAAGGCCTGAGTCGCTGGGGTGGGGGCATGGGAAGGCCTGCAGGGCAGAAGTGACTTGGGGGCAGTAGGGAGCTATGGAGGGTCATAGGCAGGGGGTGACTGGTGTATGTGTTTAGAAACAGCACTCTGGCTGCGGAAAGGAGGGATGAGAGGAGCTGAGAGGAGCTGGAGACCACTCAGCGACTAGTTACGAGCGCGACTGGTGGCCAGGCACCGCTATAGTCGACAAGCCCCCAGCCAGAGGAGCCAGACCTACGTGCCAGCTGGTGCCTGTGCCCTCAGAGAAGGCAGGGGTGGGTCTCCAGAGAGGGACATGGGGCTGGCTGCTGTTCTGGGGGGGAAGGCCTGTCCGAGGAGGGGGCGTCTGAGCAGGGCTGTGTCTGGAGGGGAGGACCGCCGAAGCCCGCGGAAGAGAAGGCGCGGGGCTGTGAGACGGGAGCGTGCTGGCGGGCTCAGGAGCTTCAGGACGGCCCATGTGGCCGGAGCCCAGTGAGAGGACAGTAATGGGAGGCGAGGTCTGCGATGCTTTATGAACATCGCTGACACCCCTGCCAGGAAGAGCTGGAGTCTATGTCCCTGTCCCTCGAATCTGGGCTCCATGACTGCTTGACCAATAGAATCCGGTGGCAGTGACCCTGTGACAATTTCTGCACCCCTACCTTAAGAGAATGGCAGCTTCTACTTGTGTTTTTGGGGTCTTTGTTTTTGTTCTTTGATACTCCTCGAACTCAGCCACCATTCTGTGGGGAAGCCCAAGCAGCTCGTGGGGAGGAACTAAGGCACCCAATTCTCAGCCCTGGCCGAGCGCTCGGACCAGCCAGCAGCAATGTGCCGCCATGTGAGTGCACATCTTGGACTTGGATCTTTAGCCCAGCCTTCCCTGCCAAGTCCTCCCCCAGACTGCAGGTCCACGAGCAAAATAAGCGATTGCTGTTGTTTTAAGCCATGGGTGTTGGGGTGATTTGTCATATAGCAATAGGTAACCAGAAAGGGGCTACGGGGTAGCTAAGGGCTAAGTCGTGAAGGGCCTTGTCCCCCAGGAGGAAGTATGTTGGGTTTTATCTCTGCTGTCGTAGGGAGCCATCAGAGGCCAGTGAGCAGCAGTCACTGCAGGGGGACACGGGGTAGGCAGGGAGGCCAGTGAGGAGGCTCCTGCTGCAGTCTGGGCAGGGAGGGTGGTTGGCCAGCCAGGAAGATGCTCATGGAGAGAGGGGCTGGCTGGTGGGTTCTGGGTAGAAGTTAAAGGTAGTTTGGGATTAGCTGATGCGTCGGATGCAGGAGGGGTCGAAGCTGAGTGCAGAGTTTGGGTCTAGACAGCACTATTTATGAGATGAGGACTCGGCCTGAGCTGGGAGGCTGTGCGAGATGGTCTGGCTGGGAGGTGGCAGCTGAGCCAGGCAGGGTGGAGACGGAGAAGGGGTCGGTTAAACAGGAGGCAGAGGTAAGCTAGATGGCACTTGAGAAGGGGGCAGACGAGTTAGGGAGGGAAACTGAGGCTGGGGTGTCAGCCTGCTCCCTTCGTGCCCCTGCTTTGTTCCCTCCACCCTCTGCTAGAGGCCACAGGAGGCTTTGTCTAGCTTTGCTGGCAGCTTCCCTGGGGTGTCTGTAATGTGGCTGCCAGCAGGGCCCCGAGGGGCACCAGGAGCAGACGGGCGGGGGCTGGGCTGGCGCATCCCATGGAGGGGTCCGCTTCTGCCTTGGTTCCTACCTAGCTTGGCTGGGGGCTGCGGGAGTCACCTCAGGGTGTCTCGCCTCCATGAGACTGTGGGCAGGGGTGGGGCCATGTCTGGCATCCGTGAGACTGGGGGCAAGTCATCTCCCTTATCCGAGATGGTTTCCCCCCTTTTTTGTAAAGGAGTTTAGCTTGAGGATGCTACATGGGGGTCCCCACCCTCCTGGGACCCTCAGAGTCCTCAGACTGCCCACTGGTTTTCAGGGCCCCAGAATCGTAGATAGTTCATGGAAGTTGGCCACCTTCTGTGCTGAGAAATGACCTGGGAATCTAGAGATTTCCTTCATTTGCAAATGAATTTCTAAATTTCAAGAATGAATTGCATGTTAATCAGACATTAAGACGTCTGTGGAATATTTAATGACATAGAAAGATGTTATTGACATATTGTTGGGAGGAAAATTCAGGTTGCAAAATGGTGTGTACACCCTGATCCCGTGTTTACCTCTCGCCCCCGCCCCCCTGACCCCCGCGTGGGGCAGTGCTCGGGGAGTGCCACGTGGGTCAGGGCGGCCTTTTTCGTCATGCTGCTTGTGCTCCCTGCATTTCTCTGGGAAATGTGTATTCCTTCCAGCATCACACCCTCCCCCTGCCCCCCCCAACACTATCAAATGTGCTGATAACTTAGAAAATCTGCTGCTTAATAAAAAGGAACTGATGTTCAGAATAGAAAATTTGAAAGATATAAAGATCTCTCCACCCAGAAGCCACTATAGGAGAAAGCTATTTTTAAAGCGAAAGGTTGTTTACTTTTCTCACTTTTCTGTTCTCATTAATTCTAGAACTGGTATTTGTGGGATTTTGTTTAAATTTTGTGAATCTTTTGTCCTAGTTCTTGTTCTCAACCAACATGCACGTAAGCATCTTTTCTTCACAAAGGCAGAAAATGAAGTGGACTTCTGTTCAGCTGGGGCCTGGGGTCGCTACTGATCTCTTCCTGGGGTGGGGGACGAACTGCACCCCCAGCTCAGGCCAGGAGCCAGAGTCAGGTTACCTGCCCCACGGGCTGTGGGGAGGAGCGGCCTGCCCTGCTGGGAACAGTCCAGGGTTAAGCCTGGTGGGGAAACTGCCTCTGTTTCCTTGTCTGAACAATGGGGTTAACACATTTTTCAAGCTCAATGAGAAATTCAGGGCAAGTATGTAAATGTCAGTTCCCTTTCCAGGGTGGTCACTTTTGACCTCTCCACACAACTTGGGGCCATCGTGGAGACTCTGACCTGGAGGAGGCCTGGGACAGAGGACTGAGGGTCCCCTTCCTGGTTGTGTGACCTGGCAAAGTCCTCCACCTTGCTGAGACTCAATGTTGTCCCCGTTACACAGGTGTAGAAACTGTGCTCCCTGCAGACTTGTGCTTGAGGTAAGCAGGGCCCAGCCTTGGGCGGGGAGCACACAGCAGCCATGCCACCCTCCTGGGTCCCCCGGGTGCTCACGGAGTCCAAGGAACGTCAGCTCTGGGCCTGACCCATGGTGCACGCGCAGCCTGCGCTGTCTTATCCCATCTTCCCGCCTCTGGCTGCCTTCTCGGACACCAGTCAGGTGTCGGCCAAACCTTGGGATGGCTGAGGCAGGACGGGAAGCCGGGCCCTCGCCTTCTTCTGTTACAAACGGGTGAAGAAGCTGCCCCATTCTCTGCTTGGCCATCTCAGGACAAAGGCTGGAGCCCACAGTAGGTTTTCCCGTCAGGCTTTTATTATAAAGAAGGTTCCAGAGAGTCCTGGCCACCCTCCCTCCAGCCCCCTTGGGCTCTGAGCCAGTCCCGGCACTGGCCGGGTCTGCTGCTAGGGGCTGAACGGCTGGGTCAGCCACGAGGGGTGCTGCCGACAGGACGGAACGGCGGCTTTCTCAGGGTGCTGAGGGGGGTCTCTGCCAGCTGCCCGATCTCTGGAACGGTCATTTCCAGTGTTGCGTTGGGAGCCTTTCGGGACCCCTCCCCAGGTCCTCTGCACAAGCGGCAGCTATTCACAGTTGGCGCATAAGTTTTTTAATATACAAAAGCTTTTTTAAAAAACAACAAAAAATGGTGTTATCTTTAGAAACACTTCCAGCAAGATCGGGTAGCCCAGCTACAGCCTCGGTGCATCGGAACCCCCTCCTTCCCTGGGGCCAGGAACTCTGAGCACTTGTCCCCCTCCTCGGCCCCTCCCCCCTCACGGAGATGCCCACAGAGCTCCCCACCCCCCGTGGCCAGCGGGCATTGCCCACTTTCCCAATAGCCGCTCCAGCAACAAAAATCAAACATTGCTGGAAACCGTCTGTGGCCAAGGTCCTTTTGGGTAAGGGGAAATAGAACTTTTCGGTGGCTGAAGCAGAAACCAATCGAGGGCTGGTTCAAGGAGCCCCCCTGCGCCAGTTTGGATGAGGTAGTGTTTCTGGGCTGCAGCCTCCAGGGCAGGTGGCCTCCTCTCGCTGTTTGTGCTGGGCCACCTGGACGGGTGGGGCTCTCTCAGCAGAGCGAGTGGGTGGCACAGTCCAGGCTGTGCTGGTGGACAGGGAGCCTTACCAGGCACTGGCTGTGGCATTCAAGGCCCCCATCCCTGAGGCAGTCTGGGGGCAGGTGGGAGGGGACGGAGGTGCCCAAGGGGCCAGGGCTGGGGCTCCTCTGGCTGGCTCAGAGCGGCCCCTTCTCTTCCACCCGCCCCAGCCATCTCTGCTCAGTATTTCCCAGCCCGAGGCAGGGACACCAGGCATGAGCTCGAGCCCAGGCCTAGTGGGTGGCCTGCTTCTCCCAGCAGCAGCTCTGACAGGCTCTTTCCCGAGCGGCTCAGGCCTCGCTGTAGCACTCGTAGATGT